CTACCACAGGCAGAGTATTACCATCCTGGCCGCGCGCTTTTCCAGGCGCAGGTACCCCAGGGCCTCTTTCAGCTCCACTTTAGTAGGTTCACTCTCCAGGTCCTCCAAAACAGGTAAGCAATCTATGGCGTTCAGTGCTTCCAATGACGCCATATTTTCTCTGGCAGACAGCTCAGAGTAATCATGCTCTACCCAGCGCTCCATCTGTTGCGTTCGGTCCTGGGTTATCTCGCCTGTAGCAAAATTTAAGGGGGCTGTTTTTTTCTGAGAAGGACCAAGTGTCTGCTTGATTTCATCGTACATATGGCCTTGATAATAGCTGTCTCAACAGCAGAATGAATACTAGCACAGATTTCAGGCTAGTATTCATTTGCACAGGGTCTGTTGCATCGTTGCACATGACTACGTGCTGTCTCTAGAGCCTGTAGACAGTTTGTTCACTTGGGCAGGTCTTTTATCCAGGTATCACTTTTCTCTTTTCTTCTATTGCAGATTTGTTTTTCTTCTTACCGAAGTTGGGCATGGCTGATCCATGAACCGCATCCCTGAAGTGATCCAATCTTTATTGGACTTTTCCAATAGAGAGGCTGGGGGAGAGATTTCTCAAGCGTAGTTATGAACTCCTCCACTTTCTGTCCATCGGGGGTCTTGCTGACGTCAAGGCATGGTTTGCACACAGTCTTTGTGTGGTAGATTCTCTTTGCCTGTAGTTTCACTTTGCTCTACACCAGAGAATGGTCAGTATCACCTTCTGCGCTGTGAAGGCTACGTGTAAGCTTGATGCACGATAGGATAGCTCGCCTTTTTTTGTGCGGGTGTATTCGAGATGATGCCAATGTTTTGAGTAAGGTGAATCGAAAATCCCCTTGTGCGATCAGATGTTGGAATCGTCCGAGTTAAAATGATGCCCAAGAGGTTAAGAGCACTAAGTGGTGTGTCAGAGGAGGGTGATGGGTCCTTTTCATGAGTATGCAGGCGTCTGTCGTCAAGCTTCGAATTTCCACTGAGTGTATTTTATTCATCTTCTTATGTGTTTGCGCCATCTGGTGAATCTCTACTCTCATGTGATAATGGTCAACTACACATACACATACCATTAATTGTTGAACTTTTTTGAAAAAATAGCTCATATGTCAGTGGTCTGAGCGTATGTATCTTTGTGGCTTTGTGGCTTTGTGTGTTTGAATGTGCGTTGCAGGGATCAATAAGGTTGAAGATACTATCAGTTGATGCTAGGAACCAATTAGATTTTGGCATTTAAACATCAGGGGCACCCATGCATCGACGGTTTCCTCCTAAAGGCATTGAAAACACTTTTTAGGGTATCCAGAGTACTTTCAGATCTCAAGAAATACATTCTAAGCGGCGCTATAAAACTTGTATCTGTTCGGTCGTCCTAGGGCAACTTGAGTCTTTTCGAAATTACAAGGGCCTCCGTATTATTTTCCCCGAAAATTTTAGATGCAATTTTAAGTTTTATGAAAGTGAGAATTTTTCTAATTCCTCTCTCCATCGCCTGTTTGAATCCGAAAATTTTAGGTTTGCTTTTTCTACGAAAAAAAGGCTAACTTGGGTACTGAAATTCGACAAATTATAATGTATAAAATCCTAGGGAATTTATTAGACATGTTACGAAAATTGTACATGAATGGAACTGTTATCTGGAAATTTTTAGCCTTCCCCAAGCTATAGAAAATTCTAGGCAAGTTTTGTTTCTTCGAAGAGGTATTTTACAGAAAACAGTCGTTGGGTGCCCCTGAAACATGACATTGCTAAAGGTCAAACAAGAGCACTTTGAGATCGCCATCTTGATTCTTCACCATTTTTTCGACTTTCATTACGGCTAAAAGTGTTTAGAAGCATAACATTTAAATATCTCCATGATTAAAACACTCAGTACAGTGATGCAGCTCGGTTTAAGGGTTCCAGTATTTTCGTACATGTGGGTGCGGCTTCAAGATATTTCTGACCTAATTCCCGGCTATCGCGAACTGTACAACCCACGTATTTCACAATTTATATAAAAGATCATATATTTTTTCAAAGTTGTTTTAATGAAACAATAACTGATATTTAGATATGGACTTAAATTCGGAAGTACATGTGTGCAGCCCATGAATTGTTGTTTTAGAAGTTTAAAAGGCAGTTTATTTTTTGTTTGAAAGCTGTACCGAGTAAGTTAATCCTGTAAAAAAGTTTTATTCTCTCGCTTACAAAGTTCAACAGACCTTCTTCGTTCCAGCAAAAAAAAAAAAACATGAATTAAGTGAACAACGTGATACATGCTTGCTGCTTAAGAGTCATTATAGTTATTGAAACGTACTTTATTCAGTAAAGATGTGTAACTTAAGTAGAAACAATAGCGTTAGGGAATAAAACTTGGAAGAAGCTAGTCGACAAAATAATTAGGTATTGTTTTATTAACTGGAAAAACATGATATTAGTAGAAATATATTTCGGCGGTTTGATAATGTTATGGGAAGTAAATAAAAGTTAGGCTATCGACCTTAACGTTGCATGAAGCATGATTTAATTGCATATGTTGTAAAGCCGAGGTAATTTCTTAAAATCGTTTGAGCAAATTTTCCAGTAAACAATTTGCGTTTTTCCACGTACGAATTGTAAAAGGGACAAAGTCCAACATCTTCACGTACAAATTGTGTGCATGAGTTATTTTTTATAATCCTGCTTACTGGATTACTATGTGATAACTCGAATTCTCTCACGTGTGAACCACAAAAGGGGCAAAGTACAACACTTTCACCTAAAAACTGTAATAATAGCAATAACAGTAACTTTAACAAATGAAGACCTCTTTAGCTTTGTAACTAGTGCCTTAAGTTAAGGCTTATAACACTTTTAGAATCAAGTCGTCAGAGTTAAAGACTGTTTCATCTTAAAGTAGAATAACGATGCAACCAACGACACCAATGATGAAAATCGTAACATATCTTAGCTATTCGGTATTCAGCGATCTTATCTTAAGACACCATGAAGAAACCTTGAAACTTTTGAGTCTTCCCTTTGAGCAACGTTTGGTGAGTTGATAATCATAGAACTTTAACAATGTGTATATTTTGCACCAGATGTCCGAAGGAAAGACTAAGAAAAGTGAATCTGTATAGTATGAGGATCGACTCAGCTGTGTGCAGCGTTTCTCGTTTTCATTAATGTACAACAATACAAAGTTTAGCACAAAAAATAGTCTACATCAAGGATTAAAACAGTAGATTGATGATACGATTACACTAAAGCATTCAAAATAGCTTGTGCACGTTAAACGTGCCTATGTTAGAAAATAAAGGCTAACGTCTCCTCTTTGCGATATTATCAGTAGTATAGTGGAGATGAAATGAACCCCTTTTTGTGGAGAAATCGCATTCACTTGCGGAGGAATTTAGTAACGCTGATGACGTCTTTATCCCATGAGTAAAACGCCAAGGAATTTCATTGAGAAAAGGTCATGCGCTATGTTAGGTGACACAACCCGTTGGAAAGGTTTTCTGGTAATTTCTAGGTCGATGGAGGCCTGATGTTTTTTGTTTCTTGACTAAAAACTAAGAAAAGTATTCATTGGTTGATACATGGTGTCACTGTGTCGTTACGTAATTATGCAAGTTCTATTGGCTGCCGCTTTCATTGTCCAACAAATTGTTCAAATCCTCAGGCTCATTGATTCTTGTCTCGTAAATCGTGCATATTTAATGAGGAAAAAAGGCAAAATAGCTCTTTCTACCACGAAAAACAATTTGCCACTTTCTCTCCTCCCTTTTTTGCTTTTCCACATTTTAATTGGACCATGCTTTTATACTATTTTTGAAACGCGGAGGGCGTGAGCAGTTCCGTAAGAGAAGTGTGGTTTTTACAGGATGTTGATAGAGAAATTTAGATCTAATTCTAACTGTTGGTAAGCCGCGGTCATCTTGAGGCGGATGACAAACATTGTGCCTGCTTGGTGTTTTCTACTCGATATTTCAGTTTTTGTGAAATAAACGATTGACACGAATTGAAAGGCTTTCAGCAGGATTCTTTCATAGGAACCCAACGAATGTATTTTGTAAAACATCGTTTGGAAAAGAAAAAAATATTGCCTTGCAATTTCTATAGCTTAAGAAAGGCTGAAAATTTCCAGATGATTGTTCCATTCATCTATATACGTTTTGAACTATTTTTTTCAACATCCTTATATACGATTTACGGAAGTTGACATATCACTTTCCAGATGTGGCCAGCATGTTTGCTAGAAAGAACACCTAAATTTTGGTTTCGAGAACAGTCACGGAAAGAGATATTAGAAAATCCCTCGTTTTTGTAAAACGTTACTATAACAATTATAGCTAAGTGATCAGGAACCAAAACGTAATAATGAGAAACCCTAGTAAATTTCAAAAGCTAAATTTGCCCGGGATAACCGTACAGAAAAAACGTTAATAAAGCTGGCTATTTTAGAATGTATGGTTAAGCTTAAATTAGCAGTCTTGATGGTCTTACACAAGTTTTATGGTATTTAGGAGAAACCAGTCGCTGGGTGCCCCTGTTCTATGCAAACTGACTCTTGTTTAAGCAGGCGTTTTAATTCAAAACAGTCTTGAAATTGTATTGAACTTCCTCGTGTCACGCCGCAAACCACAACCAAACTGGATCCAATGCCTTCCGGACCACGGTGGTAACGAGGTTTGGTGTTTTTTATAACTGACCTCAATATCAAACTGTTTTTTTTTTAAATTTTTGCCTTAAGTTTTTTTTGCCTTATCAAGAATAATGTCTATTAAGAATAATTACTTTCAATATTTATAATGAACATTGAAGTCCTTTATTTAAAGATCTAAACGTTGTCAAGTTGTTTGACATTATCACTCTTCAACTTGCATTATTTCTGTAAAACTTCTTCCTCTCTAACGCTTTAAGAAAAACCTCAAGCTAATTCTTCTTAAAAGCTACTAAAAATTGTAAAGTATTTTAACACCCTAATTCATCTGGCTTTTCGTTGTTTTTTTTTCACTTTATTTTGTTTGTTTTAGTATTAAGTGCGCATGCGCTCGTGTGTGTTTTGTGTTTGTGTGTGTGTGTGATGTCTGACCCAAATGATTAAAGATAAATCACCTAAGTATGGCTGCCAGTTTTCTTTAGCTCCTATGGTTATTTGGGGCAGCCTGTACTCCTCGCCAATATTTCCGTATACCGTCGGGTACAAATAAAGTTGTTGTTGTTGTTGTTGATGCCTTAATCAGAGTCGAGTTTTGACAGCACGTCAGGGTATAACTCTACTGAAGCCTGATTCTCCTCTGAGAGTTTGAATTTTAAATGCTTTAGGATGTAAAAAAATTTAAAATTGTAAACAAACCTGAAAGAAACTGAACGTTTGAAGGAGGCAATTGACGCGATATTGTGCCTGCTCGGCGTTTTTACTCGATATTTCAGTTTCTGTGAAATAAAATATTGATCATAATGAGGAGGACATTCACCATAATTCTGTGGAAACTGAATGCAATTATCGTGATTTTCGAGATCGTATAATCATTGAAATTTTTGTAGAAATTAGGCAATTTAAATAAAACAGTTTAAAATTATATAGAACAATTGCAACAATCATTGTTGAACTTCCCCGAGTTACTTCGTTCATCCCTAAAACACGGTCTTCAACTGGTTATTGTTTGCTTTCGTTTTGTAAACCCAAAATTGTAATATATCTTCTGCATGTCGTAGAAAACGGGAAAACGTGGCATTGGTTATATATCGTGGGGCCAAACCGTTCATGAGTTCAATATTGGAAGCCACACATCTCTATCTATGTTCACAACAGTATTTGCAGAAAGTCAGTTTGAGCCGCAGGTGACGAAATCATTCTCTCATGCATGAGCATGAATGACTCACTCGATACTTTCTCTAAGGCTCATGCAAAAATAAGTTGTACAATGAGAACTCGGCCACTTATAGCATCATGATAACTTTTAGGTCCCATTACAGCTTATTACGAACACTGATTTTGATTATCAAGAATGTACTGAGCAGTGGGTTTCATCAAAAGCCGCAAACCACAACCAAACTGGATCCAATGCCTTCCGGATCTTGGTGCTAACGAGGTTTGGTGTTTTTTATGACTGACCTCAATATCAAACTAATTTTTTTAAAATTTTGGCCTTATTAAGAATAATTTCGATTAAGAATAACTACTTTCACTATTTATAATGAACATTGAAGTCCCTTATTTAAAGATCTAAATGTTGTCAAGTTCTCAAGCACTGTTAAGGCATGGCCTGAGGCTAATTTGCATAAAATCTTATAATGGTCATAACTTTGTGAAAATTTATCAGAACCATCCAAAGTTTGGCAACCTCGGAAAAATCGGTTAATTCTCCTGTAACGTAAGAAATCAGATGTCTGTGTCACGTCACCACTTATGGTCACTCCAGGAAAAAAAAGACAGCTAAATATGGGGTGGCAAGATGCCACACAGTATATATTAAATACAGTAGTTTTTTTATTGTATCATCATTTCTCGCTTGAATCTGGCCGGAATGGTTGACTCACGTTTTTATTTAATTAGTAATTAAGCAAAATATGTCACGTGACACTTTTCACCTGTTCATATCTTTTTAAGAAATTAAAAATTCTCTCCGTTCCGGCCACAGAAAAAATTCGTACGGTAAAACAAACATTTAAACATGGTTCAAACTTAGTTGTAATCAAGCATTCCTACCCCATTTTGAATTTCTTTTTGAATATCGTTATGACGTCACGTTCCAAATGACTACATCACTTCAACCCTAATTAATTCAACGCCTCGAAAGAAAGTTTCTCGAAAGTTTTTTGCAACTTTTAGAATTAAAATGCGTGGCCGTAGAAGAAGAACAGCTTTTTCTTTGGGAGTGGGGGAAGGGGGCGGGGGGGTCGAGACCAAAAATTGAGCCATGCCTTAACATGCTTGAGTTGTTTGACATTATCACCCTCCAACTTGCATTATTTATGTAAAGCTTCTTCCTCTCTAACGCTTTAAGAAAAACCTCAAGCTAATTCTTCTTGAAAACTACTAAAAAATGTAAGGTATTTTAACACCATAATTCCTCTGGCTTCCCGTTTTTTTTTTTTTTACTTTGACATCCTTACCTTTCTTTATTTTCTTTCTTTTGGTGTTGATTGCGCATGCGCGCGTGTGTGTTTTGTGTTTGGGTGTGTGCGTGTGTGTGGTATCTGACCGAAATGATTATAGATAAATCACCAAAGTATGGCTGCCACTTTTCTTTATCTCCTATGGTTATTTGGGGCATTGTCGCTGCTCTATATTTTTGTATACTGTTGGGTACAAAAAAAAAATTGTTGTTGTTGTGCCTTGGTCTAGCGTCGAGTTGTGACAGCATGTCAGAGGAAAACTCTACTGAAGCCTGATATTTCTCCTCTGTTAGTTTGAATTTTAAGTGCTTTAGGATGTAAAAAATTTATAATTGTAAACAAACCTGAAAGAGACTTAACGCTTGAAGGAGGCGATTGACGCGATATTGTGCCTGCTCGGCGTTTTTACTCCATATTTCAGTTTCTGTGAAATAAAATATTGATCATAATCAGGAGGACATTCACCATAATTCTGTGGAAACTGAATGCAATTATCCTGATTTTGGAGATTATATATTGACTGGAATTTTAGTAGAAATTACGCTATTTAAATAAAACAGTTTAAAGTTATATAGAGCAATTGCAGCAATCATTGTTGTACCCTTTCTTGTATTGAACTTCCCCGGGTTACTTCGTTTAGCCCTAAAACACGGTCTTCAACTGGTTATTGTTTGCTTTCGTTTTGTAAGCCCAAAATTGTAATACATCTTTTGCATGTCGTAGAAAACAAGAAAACGTGGCATTGGTTATATATCGTGGGGCCAAACCGTTCATGAGTTCAATATTGGAGGCCACACATCTTTAACTATCTTCACAACAGTATTTGCAGAAAGCCAGTTTGAGCCGCAGGTGACGAAATCATCCGCTCATGAGCCTGAATGACTCACTCGATACTTTCTCTAAGGCTCATGCAAAAATAAGTTGTACAATGAGAACTCAGCCACTTATGGCATCATGATAACTTTTAGGTCCCATTACAGCTTATTACGAACACTGATTTTGATTATCAAGAATGTACTGAGCAGTGGGTTTCATCAAAAGCCGCAAACCACAACCAAACTGGATCCAATGCCTTCCGGACCTTGGTGGTAACGAGGTTTGGTGTTTTTTATAACTGAACTCAATATCAAACTGACTTTTTTAAAATTTTTGCCTTTAGTTTTTTTTTTTCCTTATTAAGAGTAATTTCTATTGAGAATAATTACTTTCACTATTTATAATGCACTTTCAAGTCCCTTATTTAAAGATCTAAATGTTGTTCAAGTTGTTTGAGATTATCACCCTTCAGCTTGCATTATTTATGTAAAGCTTCTTCCTCTCTAACGCTTTAAGAAAAACCTCAAGCTAATTAAAAAATACTAAAATTTGTAAAGTATTTTAACACCATAATTCATCTGTCTTTTTGTTGGTTTTTTCACTTTGACATCCTCAGCTTTCTTTATTTTGTTTGTTTTAGTGTTAAGAGCGCATGCGCGCGTGTGTGTTTTGTGTTTGTGCGTGTGTGTGTGTGTGATATCTGACCCAAATGATTATAGATAAATCACCAAAGTATGGCTGCCACTTTTCTTTAGCTCTCATGGTTATTTGGGTCAGCCTTTAATACTCGCCAATATTTTTGTATACTGTTGGGTACAAATAAAGTTGTTGTTGTTGTTGTTGTTGATGCCCTGGTCAGAGTCGAGTTGTGACAGCACGTCAGAGTAAAACTCTACTGAAGCCTGATTCTCCTCTGTGAGTTTGAATTTTAAATGCTTTAGGATGTAAACAAAATTTGAAATTGTAAACAAACCTGAAAAAAGCTTGACGCTTGAAGGAGGCGATTGACGCGATATTGTGCCTGCTCGGCGTTTTTGCTCGATATTTCAGTTTCTGTGAAATAAAATATTGATCTTAGTCAGGAGGACATTCACCATAATTCTGTGGAAACTGAATGCAATTATCATGATTTTCGAGATTATATAATGATTGCAATTTTTGTAGAACTTACGTAATTTAAATAAAACAGTTTATAATTATAGAGAACAATTGCAACAATCATTGTTGTACCCTTTCTTGTATTGAACTTCCCCGTGTTTCTTCGTTTAGCCCTAAAACCCGGTCTTCAACTGGTTATTGTTTGCTTTCGTTTTGTAAACCCGAAGCTACCCGAAATTGTAATATATCTTCTGCATGTCGTAGAAAACAGGAAAACGTGGCATTGGTTACAGATCGCGGGGCCAAACCGTTCATGAGTTCAATACTGAATGCAACACATCTTTATCTATCTTCACAACAGTATTTGCAGAAAGCCAGTTTGAGCCGCATGTGACGAAATAATTCGCTCATGAGCCTGAATGACTCACTCGATACTTTCTCTAGGGCTCATGCAAAAATAAGTTGTACAATGAGAACTCGGCCACTTATAGCATCATGAAAACTTTTAGGTCCCATTACGGCTTATAACGAACACTGATTTTGATTATTAAGAATGTACTGAGCAGTGGGTTTCATCAAAAGCCGCAATCCACAACCAAACTGGATCCAATGCCTTCCGGACCTTGGTGGTAACGAGGTTTGGTGTTTTTTAAAACTGACCTCAATATCAAACTGATTTTTTAAAATTTTGGCTTAAGCTTTTTTTGCCTTATTAAGAATAATTTCTATTAAGAATAATTACTTTCACTATTTCTAATGAACATTGAAGTCCTTTATTTAAAGATCTAAATGTTGTCAAGTTGTTTGACATTATCACCCTTCAACTTGCATTATTATGTAAAACTTCTTCCTCTCTAACGCTTTAAGAAAAACCTCAAGCTAATTGTTCTTAAAAGCTACTAAAAATTGTAAAGTATTTTAACACCATAATTCATCTGGCTTTTTGTTGGTTTTTTTACTTTGACATCCTTAACTCTCTTTATTTTGTTTGTTTTGGTGTGTTTTGTGTTTGTGTGTGTGTGTCTGTGATATCTGGAAAAATCACCTAAGTATGGCTGCCACTTTTGTTTAGCTCCTATGGTTATTTGGGGCAGCCTCTACTACTCGCCAATATTTCTGTTTACTGTTGGGTATAAATTAAGTTGTTGTTGTTGTTGTTGATGCCTGGTCAGAGTCGAGTTGTGACAGCACGTCAGGGTATAACTCTACTGAAGCCTGATTCTCCTCTGAGAGTTTGAATTTTAAATGCTTAGGATGTAAAAAATTTAAAATTGTAAACAAACCTGAAAGAAACTTAACACTTGAAGGAGACGATTGACGCGATATTGTGCCTGCTTGGCGTTTTTACTCGATATTTCAGTTTCTGTGAATAAAATTTTGATCATAATCAGGAGGACATTCACTATAATTCTGTGGAAACTGAATGCAATTATCATGATTTTCGAGATTATATAATGATTGCAATTTTTGTACAACTTACGCAATTGAAATAAAACAGTTTAGAATTATATAGAACAATTGCAACAATCATTGTTGTACCCTTTCTTGTATTGAACTTCCCCGTGTTACTTCGTTTAGCCCTAAAACCCGGTCTTCAACTGGTTATTGTTTGCTTTCGTTTTGTAAACCCAAAATTGTAATATATCTTCTGCATGTCGTAGAAAACAGGAAAACGTGGCTTTGGTTATATATCGTGGGGCCAAACCGTTCATGAGCTTCACACATCTCTATCTATGTTCACAACAGTATTTGCAGAAAGTCAGTTTGAGCCGCAGGTGACGAAATCATTTGCTCATAAGCCTGAATGACTCACACTCGATACTTTCTTTAGGGCTCATGCAAAAATAAGTTATACAATGAGAACTCGGCCACTTATAGCATCATGATAACTTTTAGGTCCCATTAGAGCTTATTACGAACACTGATTTTGATTATCAAGAATGTGCTGAGCAGTGGGTTTCATCAAAAGCCGCAAACCACAACCAAACTGGATCCAATGCCTTCCGGACCTTGGTGGTAACGAGGTTTGGGGTTTTTTATAACTGACCTCAATATCAAACTAATTTTTTTAAAATTTTTGCCTTTTTGCCTTATTAAGAATAATTTCGATTAAGAATAATTACTCTCACTTTTTATAATGAACATTGAAGTCCTTTATTTAAAGATCTAAATGTTGTCAACTTCTCAAGCATGTTAAGGCATGGCCTGAGGCTAATTTGCATAAAATCTTATAATGGTCATAACTTTGTGAAAATTTATCAGAACCATCCAAAGTTTGGCAACCTCGGAAAAATCAGTAACCTTAATTCGCCTGTAACATAAGAAATCAGATGTCTGTGTCACGTGACCACTCATGGTCGAGTCCAGGAAAAAAAAGACAACTAAAAATGTGGTGGCAAGATGCCACACAGTATATATTAAATACAGTAGTTTTTTTATTGTATCATCATTTCTCGCTTGAATCTGGCCGGAATGGTTGACTCACGTTTTTATTTAATTAGGTCACGTGACACTTTTCACCTGTTCATATCTTTTTAAGAAATTAAAAAGTCTCTCCGTTCCGGCCACAGAAAAAATTCGTACGGTAAAACAAACATTTACACATGGTTCAAACTTAGTTGTAATCAACCATTCCCACCCCATTTTGAATTTCTTTTTGAATATCATTATGACGTCACGTTTCAAGTAACTACATCACTTCAACCCTAATTAATTCAACGCCTCGAAAGAAAGTTTCTCGAAAGTTTTTTGCAACTTTTAGAATTAAAATGCGTGGCTGTAGAAGAAGAACAGCTTTATCTTCGGGAGGGGGAGGGGGGGGGGGTCGAAAACAAAAATTGAGCCATGCTTTAACATGCTTGAGTTGTTTGACATTATCACCCTCCAACTTGCATTATTTATGTAAAGCTTCTTCCTCTCTAAACGCTTTACGAAAAACCTCAAGCTAATTCTTCTTGAAAACTACTAAAAAATGTAAGGTTTTTAACACCATAATTCCTCTGGCTTCCTGTTTTTTTTTTTTTTTTTTTTTTTTTACTTTGACATCCTTAACTTTCTTTATTTTCTTTCTTTTGGTGTTGATTGAACATGGGCGCGTGTGAGTTTTGTGTTTGAGTGTGTGTGTGTGTGGTATCTGACCGAAATAATTATAGATAAATCACCTAAGTATGGCTGCCACTTTTCTTTAACTCCTACGGTTATTTGGGGCACTGTCGCTCCTCTATATTTTTGTATACTGTTGGGTACAAAAAAAAATGTTGTTGTTGTGTGCTGGTTAGAGTCGAGTCGTGACAGCACGTCAGAGTAAAACTCTACTGAAGCCTGATATTTCTTTTAAATACTTTAGGATGTAAAAAAATTTAAAATTGTAAACAAACCTGAAAGAAACTTAACGCTTGAAGGAGGCGATTGACGCGATATTGTGCCTGCTCGGCGTTTTTACTCCATATTTCAGTTTCTGTGAAATAAAATATTGATCATAATCAGGAGGACATTCACCATAATTCTGTGGAAACTGAATGCAATCATCGTGATTTACGAGATTATATAATGACAGGAATTTTTGTCGAAATTACGCAATTTAAATAAAACAGTTTAAAATTATATAGAACAATTGCAACAATCATTGGATTCATTGTTGTACCCTTCATCCATTTAATCTTCAGTTGTTTATTGCTTTTTGTCGACTAGGGTTAACCATATAGCATAGATACAAAGTAAGTTATGCTTAAATATCTATAAATGATAAGGAAAAGAAAAGAAATCTGTACTCACAGCAATCTTGATGTGTCCAATGGAGTTGTGTAAGCTAGTTCATGAGGGTTAGCTCAGTTGAGGGGTATGGCCTAGCATTGCTTCAAGTGAGGAAATATATGGTATGACACCTGCGTTCGAAAATGAAACAATTCATCACTGGTTTTAAAATAAATGTGATAAATGTTCGGTTATGGTAAGGTTTTAAAAACTATAAATTATATGGAATAGAAACCAAATTGTTGTCACAGAGTTGCGTATATGTCTACCGGAATGGCCGGAGAACGAGTGTTTTGGAAGCATAGTTATGGAGGCATCGCCTATGCTTGAAGTAGGGATAAATATAGCAAAGCATAGCATAGCATAGCATGACGTCAATGTTCGAAAACGAAACAATTGATCATTGTTTGACAGCCTATCAACATCACGTCGAATTACGTTACAGAAATTGTTTGGCCTCTTCAGTTCGCAGAAGTTGCTTTTCTGGAGTAGAGGAGCGACCCCTAACCCCCACCGGCCAGGCATTTTTCTTTAATTTCAACAAGTGCCTTTATTAAAACGTGCGACACAAATGTAGTTTAAAACTACAATGTTTAAAAATACAAGCATGTTCGGTGGTTATTATTTCAGTTTCAAAGCAGTTTTCTAATGGATCAGGAGCCGATATATTAGGATATATTAGGATATATTAGGGTTGGGAGGCCCTCCGACCCCTTCTCCATGGGTCGGCCACTAAACTAGAAAAAGCAACAGGTTTAATAAATTGAGTAAAGCGATTTTCGTATGACCTTGAAAAATGGTTTCGGTAAGTGATCCTTATTTGTTTTATCAGGCAATGGATGAAAAGATCAAAACATGGACTCTTCGTTTTCCCGCCAAAAAATCCTAATATGGAGAAAGTATTGTTCGATTGGCCAACCGTGTTGCAGTATGATGTCAAAGCGAAGTATTGATTGAGTTCTAGAAAGTTCTTGGGGCATGACGTTTTTTCAGCCTGGTGTTCGCTTAATCAACCAAAAGCCACGCGCGTTTGTATCCGTTCGATAAACCAATCAAATCGCTGTTTTTCCGTTCGTTTGTTTTTTCTGTTTTGTTCGCGCGTTTTTATTTCAAGGTCATGCGAAAATCGCTCTATTTGGCACCAATAGGATTTTGGTGCCCACCTGTCCACCTACCCCTCCCCTAAGCTATCATTTTACCCTAAGTAAGAAGTAAGTTTTAATGTTGGCATAGGGGTGCGGTAGGTGGGCAGTTTCCCAGAAACCTTAATTGATCCAGGATTTTTATGATTCATGCGGATTCACGTGTAATATCACATACTTCAAGTCAAGTTGCATCTTATCTCTTCTGTAAGAAAATGGCATAAGTACAACCGAAGATAACAATAATTATTCCATATAGAGTTTATGTCATATTTTGTCTGGGCGACGCCCAATCAGTTGACTAGGGCGTGCCACGTATTTTAGACCCATTTGGCTATGGATCCTCTTACGCTTTTACTTTCGTGAAGTACTAGAGCAGTTAAAAATGGAATTTACACAAATTTTCACTTCGAAAAGGCTCTTCGTTTTGTGATACAGTACGCTTGAATTTCTAAGCTTTTGCTTGATGCAGCTTCTAGATGGCGGCCTACAGAGCTGTCATGTAGGTTAAAAAGGTGACTTATTTTAAGGGATTTTGCTATCTAAACAGTCATTTTATTAGGAAAGGTACTGCTTTAATGTTTATGAGTTCCTTGAGAGATGAATTCACCCTTTAATAGCAAAACTTAGTGACAGATGTTTCTGTTATATAGTTTCCGGTTGTCATGTTGGTTTCCATCCAGATGGGCACCAACATGGCGCCTTCACAGAAATCGCTCTATTATTTTGGGTAAACAATTTCTTAAAATGTTTTGCGTGTGAAAAATCACACTGACCTGAATCTTGGCGAGGGTCTTTCTATATCAACCTCATTTCATTTCTCAGATTCTGGAATTTATCGTTTTATCTTTATTATCTTTTAAAACCAGCAATAAAACTAAACGGGTAAGTGGAGTGAATTTGGTCTGAAATCATACACGTTATTTTAAAATCAGATGAGTGCACAGGGAGAGTTCGATTTGATATCACAAGCATGATTTCAGACCAAAATTGCACGACACGACAAGTTCAATTACCATTTTATTACAGCCATTTTGAAATTTCAAGACTCAGTGAGTGCCAGTAGTTCATTGATCCAGTTGGTGGTTAGTTGAAAGTAAAATCGTAACGCCTTAAAATTTCATTTTGTGTGCGAAACAGATCGAAATGATGCGATTTCTTTCATTTTCATCTGATAATAAGTTTACATACTCTATAAACTCGCTTCATCATTTGACTTCTTTTAGTTCCTTTTACGTCTTCAGTTAAGAACTAATAAGCCAGGCCAGTCAATCTAAGCACCGGACTTGATTTAACATCAAATTGCTGACATAGTATTGGAATGATCTTTTCTAAGTATCCACATCCATTTGCTTCAATTTTATTTTTTTCAGTAAGTGTAGTTCAGAGAAGACACAATTATAGTTCAAAGACCACAAAACGAGTTCAGTAATCACAGCTAGCCTTCTGGTGTTAGTTTTGTTTATGTTTATCCGTTCAAGAATTGTCGG